AGCAACAAATGCAGTTTCAGCTTCCCCTTTGTCTAACGTGGCTTGTGTTGAAAGTCTAGTCTCCTCCCGAAGGAGCTCTCCCAATAACTTATCCATAGAGGGCAATTTTACCCGGTTTAATATACTGGCACAAAGAGGCTCAAAATCAGGTCTTAGCTTCATCAAAAATTGCATCACTTTTCTTTCATCATTCAGAGTCTGTAAACTCTGTAAGCAACAGTCCTCATGGTCACCCATAATCCCCTGCTCATATTCAGTCCACAGACTCATGAAAGCAACATAATAGTCTTGAATATTTTTATCACCCTGTGCAAACTTGAAAATGTCAAATTCAATCTGAAATTTCCTAGCCCAATTTGACTGCTGATAGACCTTTTCAAGATGCTCCCACATTGCCTTAGCAGTGCGAAATCCTCGCATAGGGATTCCAATATTAATATCAACAGAAGCCAAAATCCAAGAAACAATTTTTGCATTATTCATCTTCCACTGTTGAAGTTCTTTGATTTTTGATGCTTTAGGCATAGGCTCGGTTCCATCAATATAGCCCCACAAACCTTTGCCTTCTACAAAGAATTGAAAATGGAATTTCCACAAAGAAAAATTCTTTCCATCTAATTTGATAGCCAAAGTCTCATTTTTCTCGGTCATTATTGAATCCAGTTCCGCAGCAACAAATCAATATGCAAATCAACCAAGGAGAAAAGCAAATAAAAGGGTAATCGATATTACCGTCAATACGATATGAAAAACCCAATCAATAAATCCAATCTCCCATCTCTCCTCTGCTCCGTCTCCTCTCTTCAAAACCCAAAAATGTCTGACGAACAGCACCACTTCGAGTCCAAGGCCGACGCTGGCGCCTCCAAGACCTATCCCCAGTAGGCCGGTACCTCTGCAATGGCTTCACCTCCGATCTGGTTTGGCTTCAGCGTCGGAATCCTCTGCAATGGCTTCACCTCCAATACTGAGCCGGTGGTGATGGAGTCAAAACCCTTGGCGGCGCGAAAGAAGAAGCTCTGGCGAAATCTGCTCTGATACCATGTAAAGTGAGGCGGAAGTGGTGAGGCGGAAGTGGAGGGTGCAAAACAAAATTACCGAGCTGCTCACCCTTAGCAGCATATTTATATTAGGTTATATAAAATGTAAAGTTACATAAAAGCCCTTAATATAAAACAAAATTACAAATTATGCCTATTTCCTACAGGTTCTGGCTCCAACTATTCATGTGGTGAGATCCTTCCATCTTTTTCCCCTGGGA